CGAGCATGCTACCGCTTGAGCCACATCCCCAGCCCAGTTCAGTCCTTTTTGACATATTCAGAATGTGTTCTTTTRTAAGCATAAATTGTGCATTTTGGTTTAATTTATTTTGGGTTCTGGGGACTGAACCTATGGATGCTTAACCACTGAGCCACATCCCTAGCCCTTTGTATTCTTTATATTGAGCCAGGGTCTTGCTAAGTTACTAAGGGTCTTGAGAAGTTGCTGGGGCTGGCTTCAAACTTGTGATCCTCCTGTCTCAGCCTCCYGAGTCACTGGGTTTACAGGCCACTGCATCTGACTTGGTCTTTTTTTTTAATTTTAATTGGAGAATTTCATCCATTTAAGTTTAATATGATTATTGGTATATTTAGTTTAAATCTGTTTTCTTTTTATATTTTCTGTGTACCAATTTTTCTTCTAGGGGCTGGGAATGTGGCTCAGGCGGTAGCGCGCTCGCCTGGCATGTGTGCAGCCCGGGTTCAATCCTCAGCACCACATACCAACAAAGATGTTGTGTCTGCCGAGAACTAAAAAAAAATAAATATTAAAAATTCTCTCTCTCTCCTCTCTCTCTCTCTCTCCCTCTCCCCCTCCCTCCCTCTCTCCTCTCTCACTCTCACTCTCTTACTCTCTCTTAAACAAAATTTTTTTTTCTTCTACCCCTTTCTTCTCACCTCTAAGGGTAATCAAATTTTTATTATTCTTTTTTTCTTCCAAATACYTTGGTCACATTTATTTGTTATTAGCCTGGTGCTTGCCCTGGAGATTGTGTCCTGGTCCTTGACTTGTGTCTATCTTAAAGGAGAATGCCATTCTTTCCCAAGCAGTGCAGAATCTCCATGCCCTTGTTTCATCATTACTGCTGCTGTAAGCTGTTAGGATTCCTTTAGCTTGACCCAATTTTGGCCTTTTCCAGGGCTCTTCATTCCTACCTATGTTTCTGTGCTTTGACCTGGTGTTGTTTTCCTTCCTCTGAATAAACCCCTTTTGTGTTTCTTTTAGTATGTCTGCTGACCAAAAAAAAAAAAAAAAAAAAAACCTTTTATTTTTTTTCAATTTTGAAAAACGTTTTCAGTGGGCGTGGAAGTCCAGCTCTGCTCTTTTAGTGTTTTGTGCTGTTGTTCTGTTTTCCTTGGCCTTGCTTGATTCATGTTGAGGTTACCTGTGAGGCCTCTTGTACTGTGAAGGTCACTGTCTCTGAYCACCACCTGCTTTGGAAGAAGTCCCTTTGTCTTCAGCTTCAGGGGCTAGATTCTGATGTACCTAGATATGTTTTTTTGTTTACCCAGGTTGTTATTTATAGAGCTTCTAGAATTTGTAACTTGATATCTTTTGGTCTGTTTGGGAAAAATCTTGGGTAGTGTCTTATTAAACATCATTTCTGTCCCATTCTCTCTCTTCCTTCTCTGGGACTTCAGTTACACAGATGTTAGACCTTCCTTTATTTAGATGTTTATAATTTCAGTGCTTATTTGTCGATAGATCCTTCTTGTCGGAATCCCTTTCTTTGCTGAATTTCTCCATCTCAGCTGTATGAGAGCCCTCTGTATTCTGTGTTCAGATCTTCTGTGGCTGTGTATGGCTTGGTTTTTGTTCATTTGGTCTTGTCTCTATCTGGGAAAGTGTGGAGACACTGGGCATTTTTCCTCCCAAAGGGATTTAATCCTCCTTACCTGTGCCAGGGTGTACCTGCCTGAGATGGCTGGTCCAGCCTGCTCGGGACTGTGGCAGCATCCAGCTGACACACTCTTTCTGAATGCATAGATGCACACACAGCTCTTTCCTCCTGCAGAGCTGGCTCCGAGGGGCCCAGCCTGTGTGCTGTTCAGGGAGTGCCGTGTAGGAAGCTGTGTGTACAGGGTAGGCTCACTGGAGTGGCTTCATCTTGAGTCTGGCTGATTTAGATGTTCCTGAATTCTAAATTTTGCCTTGCCCTATGCCATGAGACTGGGTATGCTGGGTAGTGCAGCTGCCCTAAGGAGAAGGCAGAGTGGCGGTGTCTCTGGCTCTCCGCTGTTACCGTTGTTCTTGGCAGAGGAGGCAGCTTCTGCCAGGTTGTGAGCACAGCTAACCTGGGAGGCGGAGAGAGGCCGAGGCTGCGAAAGGCATTTGTGCTCCATGTAGCTTGCCCCTTACGGCCCTCAGGTTGCTGGGCCGCACAAATGCCTTTGGAATCCCAGGGCTACAGGTGTCATAGTAACCACTGAACAGGTGACTGGGTCCTGTAACTGCACCCTGAGATCCCTGCCCCCCCAGTGGTCAGTGGCCTCAGGGCCCTGCACCTGCTGGTGGCGTGCAGCTGAGTGGGATCTGGTCTGGGCCCTTCCTGCACCACTCCCAGCAGATGGCAGTGTTGGCACAGGCTGTGGGATGGGGCCAGGAGAGGCCTGTGCTGAGCATCTCTGAATCTGGTGGCCTGGCCACATGGAAGGAGGTTCTCTGTTCAGAGCAGAGGCTTTGAGTAGGCACTTCACAGACTTCACATGTCATAGAAAGAGTGATGTGCAGGATTATACAGAGGAAGCCTCATGGTGGGTTGCCGTAGCCAGCTGTGGCTCTTGGATCTGGTGCACTGTAGGAGTCGGACAGTGGAGTCATGACGCACTGGCCCTTCTGTGGACAGACGAAGTGGGCCAGGAAGGGGCACCCACAAGACCCACATCAGTTGTCAGATACATGCTCTCCATTGCAGCTTAGGGCTGGCAGGAAGGTAGCCCTGGGTAGTGTGCAGGAGCAGAGCAGGCTATTCACGACATGGGAGTGGGTCCTTGTGAGGCCCATGTTCTGGGGAGACTGAACCTACCCCAGATTATGTTCAGGATCTGTTAGAACTTGGCGCAGGCTGTTGTGGGGCCCACCAGGTTCTGTTTCAGAAAAGTTGGAAAGGAGGTTCTGAGTCAAACCTTCTTCCCTTTCACATTCTTCTTCTTTTTTTTTTTTTTTTTGGTACTGGAGATTGAACCCAGGGTTCAATCTGCTGAGCTATACCCACAGTCCTTTTTAGTTTCTATTTTGAGACAGGGTCTTGCTAAGTTGCCCAGACTGGCCTTCTACTTGCGATCCTCCTGCCTCAGCCTCCTGGGTCGCTGGGAATACAAGTTTGTGCCATCATGCCTTTCATGCCTCTTTGACAGTCTTAAACATTACAGCCAGCTATATGCTTTTGCACAGAGCTGTGGAGTGAGGGTAGCTCAGGGGAAGCTGTTTCTGGAGCTTCTGCCAGCTGCACTATTCAYTTGGGTGGGCAGGAAGAATGGTTTCTGGTGTCCCAAGAGGCTATTTCTACTTCAGCTTCTGGTGAGGGCTGGGAATTATGCTGGACCAGGAGTGGGAGCCAGATGTGGAGGTGCACACTCGTAGTCCCAATTACTTGGGAGACAGAGGCAGGAGTCACAAGTTTGGGGTTAGCCTGGGTAACTTAGGTGGGCAGCCCTGTCTCAAAATAGAAATGAAAAGAGCTGGGAATGCAGCTTAGTGTAGAACAACTCTGGGTTTGATCCTCAGTCACATGGTGGCAGGGTGGAGCAGGAATAGGAGTTAACCTCTGAGTTTGGTTTCTTGATTCTTTTTTTTAGTTGTTGATAGACCTTTATTTTATCTATTTATTTATATGTGGTGCTGAGACTCGAAGCCAGTGCCTCACACATGCCAGGCAAGTGTGCTGCTGCTGCCCAGCCCCTGCCCTGGTTCCTTGATTCTTTTTTTTTTTTTTAATATTTATTTTTTAACTGTAGTTGGATACAATACCTTTATTTATTTTTATGTGGTGCTGAGGATCAAACCCAGGGCCTCACACATACCAGGCAAGTGCTCCACTGCTCAGCCCCAGCCCCAGCCCCCCACCTTTTTAAAAAAATTCCTAGTTGATTCCTAGTTTCAGTTGCCATTGCAAGAAAATGGAGGAAGGATAGTCTAAATACCTCCCTGGCAAGCAGGGACCATGATTGTGTAGATAGTGGGTGTCAGGACTGTGTAGACAGTTGCCCCAGTGTTGGAATACCATAGCCCTGGGATTCCAAATGCAGGCAGTGGGCCTCAGGACTGTGTCGATAGCAAGTGTTGGTACTATGCAGGTAGTGATGCTCAGAGCCCCTGTGCCCCCTGACATAGTGCCTGCACAGCCAGTTCAGGGCAGGTTGCTGAGTGCTGGGACCTTTGCTGTGGTGGAGCACCCTGGGTTCCGCTCTAGATTGTGCTGTGAGCTAGGCTGGGATTCAGAGCAGTAGGGACCTGCAAAAGTATAGGTGCTGGATTGTCCTCCTCCTTGGGCATTTGGTGGTCCCACTCCTCCATCCTGAGGTGTGTCGTTGCCTCCAATACCCTCTCTAGTCCCCTGGGGCCTTGGAATGGTGGTGTCAGGTCCTCCCTTGCATATGTGAGTCCTCTTGACTTTTCTATGGACACCTGCTCTAGGCTAGACTCAGCACCCTAAGGTTTGTTTTTGTTGTTGTAGTTTTAGTTTTTTAGCTAAAAGACAGCAGACACTGAATGGCATTATTGTTTTCTTATTTGTGCTGCAGACAGAGCTAGGGCCTTGTACCTGTTAAACAGTTTACCACTGAAATACACACCCCCAGCCTGTACCCATCTCCTAGGAGTCTGTGTGTGCTGGCACCTGGCAGGCACTGAGCAGTCCTTGAGGAATGGAGCATGATTGTGGTGGCTTGCACATTTCCATGCTGTGTGGGCAGAAGACCTTCCATGGAGTGGACACTTGAGTGGGCAGGTGCACGGGAGCTGCTCTGCGAAGGCCCTGTCCTCTTGAGGATCATAATGAAGCCCCTGCCATTTCTGGTTCCCCTGACCTGGCTCCACACCTCTTCTTGCAGTCCCTTGTCCTCCCTCAGCACCTGGGGATTGGAAGGTTCATACAGGTCTGATGTGCCACCTCAGCCTCCTTGATCAGGTATTGAGCTTAGGTGTGGCAGACAAGGCTCAGCCCCTGGGGGTGCAGTTTTGATAGTTTTCATGAAGATGTTCCTTAACTCCGGCTGCAGACATGCTCCTTGATCTCAGCGACCTGCTCCAGGTAGACCACTTTCCCCACTGGAAGGGTTGATGGGCATAGCCTGCACCTCCACATGGAGGCAGTCTGTGCTGCCTGTTGCAGTGGGAAGCTCCGTCTGCAGGGTGGAGAGGCTCAGGTGCTGCAGGCTGGCTCTGCAGGGGTGGGAGAGGGTCACTGTGCTGTCCTGGTGCTGCTCAGGGCTCAGATGGCTCAGCATGAGAACCACTGGAGAGAACCATGTGAACTTTGTTCTTAGGAAATGGAGATTCCTTAAAAGCAAAGGAAAAAATTGGACTCTCATGTATGTGTCTTAAACTATGGGAAAATTCACGTGTGCTTTCTGCGCTCAGAGAAAGTAACTTTTGTTTGATTGCTTGTTTCCAAACAAATGAACATTGTGGGAAGATCTTCCCAGAGATGCTCACCGTGTGAGCAGGCCCCAGGACCCCACATATGTCCCCACTGATGGATTTCAGGGGCTAGCCGGGGACTGACTCAAGGCCCTTAGCCCATGACTTGGATTGTGGCAGAGCCCTCAGGCCTGTGGTGATCACTACTGATGACCGGGAAAGAGATGTCATAAAAAATGAAGCTGATGGCACTGTGAGGATGCCACATTAAAGAGAACTCTTCTGGGGTGCCCCCTAGGGTCCTGAGAGCCTGTAGGCCACTGGTGCATGGGCTTCAGTGCCCTCCTACAGTAATCAGCAGTTTACTTCCACCTGGGTCAGATGAAACTTTGTATTTTTGTCCTCCCAGCTGTCTTCATAAATGGTATCTCTCAGCAGCTACTGTCGAAATACTGTGGTAAAATTAAACATGACCTATTGGGATTGTGATGATCCAGTGACTCCACATTTCACATGCACTATACTCAGATCCAGGCAAGGCCATGACCCTGGCTTTACCCTGGTGGTTTCCTAGGAGAGATGGGCACCAGGGCCAGACAGCTACAGAAGCGACTTGGGCACTGCTTGAATGCAGAGTGGGATATGCCTGTTGGCCCTGGCTTCACAGCCTGTGCAGTGGGAAAACAGCCAGCTTACTAAGACAGAAGGTGGGCAGTGAGGGCTGAGGTTCCCACGCAGGACAGGGAGTCACATAGCCAGGGTAGACACGATACTGTTTGACCTTTTTTTTAAAAAAAAAAAAAATATTTATTTTTTTAGTTGTAGTTGAACACAATACGTTTATTTCACTTATTTATTTTTATGTGGTGCTGAGGATGGAACCCAGTGCCTCACGCATGCCAAGCGACTGCGCTACCACTTGAGTCATATCCCCAGCCCACTGATTGACCTTTAACAGCTCATGGGCAAAGCCAGGTGCAAGGCCTGGCACCTGCAGGAGGCTGGGCCATGTGGCAGCTTTTGGTGTGAGGAGCCACTAAGAGGAGGCTGGCAAGGTGGGCCCTTTGCTGGAGGGGCCTACAGCTCATACCTTTGTTCCTCTGAGATCCCCCTGCCCCCAGGAGCTAGGGTGGGACTGGCATTCAAGGGACAGGTATATTTGCACTTGTCTGGGTCATTGAGGACCTTACTCAGGATTCTGGCAAGGGCTGACTGCTTTGAAGAAAGGTTAGTAGGACTGAGTTTAGATGTCATTTTAGTTCTTGCTTATGCATCCTAAGGTTAAACCTCTCCTTAGCATAAAACTCAAGATCAGTGACGCCCTGGCTGGGACTGTGTGAAGGGACCTGGTGTTCCTGGGCAGGAAACCATCTGGGTCCTCCCATGGGCCCACGAGGAAGACCTCTTAATCCCTTCCTGTGGCAAAGGTTGTTCACCTGCCCAGATGCACAGCTTCTCAGAGGCCAAGCCAAGGCCCATGACAATGGTCTGCGTGCAGAATGCACTTCCAGCCTGGGGGATTAATGGGAGGGCTGGTTAGCTGTGTCCAGCCTATATTGCCTGTCCATAGAGAGGAGCCATCAGTTACAAGCTCAGGAGAATGAACTGTTATCTAATATAAACAGTACTCATAAACAGCAGGATCTCTGGAATCTGGGTGTGGTGATATGCACCTGTTTTCCCCAAGGACTGCTTGATCCTTCAAGACTAACATGGGATCTCTGGGAAGAGCTGCGTGCATATATATACATGCATAGCTTTTTATGTTTTTGTGGCACTGGGGATTGAACTTCAGCCCTTTTTGTTTTGAGACAGGGTCTCACTGAGTTGCCAGGCTAGTCTTGAACTTGTAATCCTCCTGCCTCAGCCTTCTGAGTAGCTAAGTAGCTGAGATTACAAGTGTTTGCCCATTCATGCATAGTTTTTAAATCTTTTGACTTCCTGTTGAAGCCCCTTCAGAAACCTGTTTTCTGCATCATTCAGGTCTCATCCATTTAGGATTATGAGGTGGACAGGTAGAAATCAGCCTTCTAGTGGGACATGGATGTCCTTGCAGAGGATGGAAGTGACTTACACAGGAATTCTGGTGGGGTCTAGAACAAGGGCAGGAGTACTCTTGTGAAGGGTGTGCCTACACTGCTGCCAGTACACGTGGACACACTGTGCTTGTGCACACATCACACGCCAGGTGTGCATGTACTCACATCAGGCATATGTACCCACACCGTTGTGCACTTACACATACCACATGTCCACACATACCACCTTTCAGGAAGAGACCCCAGGAACTCCTGGACCGTGGAAACACATGGTAGAGCTCTTTTAGAAGGTATTCTGCAAGCCACCAGCCCTTAGGGTAGAGGGCACTTCGGAGATAGCTGCACCCAGCCAGGACTGGGGGTGACCAGTGAACAGTCACTCACTGCCTGGATGGGGAAGCCAAGCCCTGGCCTTCCAACTGGACAGGCTCCTGGAGCTGACATGTCCCAAGCACTCCCTCCAGTTCCTGCCTCTAATATAGACACCCTGGTCTTGCCCTTGAAGTTTGTAAACACCTGGGGGGTTGTGGGGAATCACCTTTGTGCAGGAAAAGAGGCCTTGTCCAGGGCTGGGCTTGAGCCAGACGAATTTCTTTGGGAAGGCAAAAGGACCAGACTAGTCACACCTGTGAAGCCTGGAAGTTCCAGGGACAAGCCTGAGAACAGGTGTCACAAGCTCAGGCTGACACCAAAGCCCTGGCATGGGCCTAGGGTGGGAACTGGGCTTTCCCTGCCCTGCATATTGTTCAAGATAACAATCTATTTGTCCCCACTCAGAAGCATCCTCCCAACAGCCTGCCTGTGCCTCTGGTTAACGTTGGGCTCCCCAGGGGAGCCTGGCTGCACCCAAGTGCTGAGCCATGTCCTGGGAGGTTCTAGATTCTGACAAGCAATGGTGCTCCCACCACCAGGCAGCCCCCAGGACAGTCCTCCTCCCTGTGACTCCTTCCCTGCATGTGTCAAGAAGAGAGCAGGGCAGCAGGCCTTGAGGTGGGAGCAGTGGAGGAACAGATAGGATCCTGCAAGGAGGTGTCGTACGTCCACGTGTTGCCAGCAGGTCTTGATTCTGAATGAGTGCACTGTGCACAGCTCCATCACACCAAAGGGCACCCTCCAGGTGGGGCATTCTAAGCAGATGCAGGCATTGGCAGGACAGTGGAGTGGAGCCTAGGTAGTTACCGTGGAAGAAGGGAGTCTCCATTACCTGGAAGTCAGGGGAGATGGCTGGCTCTGAGGCATGGGTGGTAGGGTGCTCCACTGGCCAGCTGGGGGCTCTGATTATGGATTATTAAAAGAAACCAAACTTTTTCTTAAACACTAATGTATTTCTGGCTGTGCTCTTGTTGCCACAGGTGAACGTGTATGTGCTGGGGAAGACATTTCTGCTCTTGGCGAGGGAGCTCTGCATCAATGCACCAGCCATAGGTATGCTGGGCCTGGGTGGGGTTCTGCAGGGTCTCTGGGACCTGGCATGCCAGGGTGCCCAGCAGGGTGGGAGGGATGCCACCTCAGAAATGCAAGACTCCTAAAATCTCTCAGGAGCAGAGTCGGGCTATACTGCTGGTACAGAACCAGAAGGCACAGTGTCAAGTGTAGACCAGGCATACGTGGAGGAAAGGGCACGTGGTCCAGCATGCTGGGAGCCCGTCTTGTTTGAACAGGTTTGAGGAACACACCTGCCCACCAGACACCTTTAAGAAGGCAGGGTATTCTCGTAGACGGTGTGACGGGTGGCTCTAGGAGGCAGGTGCTCTCTAAACACTTCTCTCTACCAAAACTGGTTTCCTTGGCTTTCCCATCAGCACCCGGCATTGTCTTCTTATGGTGAAGAGGAACCACCTGGGCCAGGGTGGAGGGCTGGGCCCCTGGTGTTGGGTCAGTGGGACAGTCTAGTGCACACTGGGCTGAATCCATGCCCTAGAAGCCACAGCATTGCCCATAGGGCCACCCCTCCCTTTGGAGGTCAGGCAAGTACCATGGAGTGCTGGCATGGGGCAAAGACCAGTGCCTAGAGTCAGTTCCACCCTGGTACACCCCACAGCAGGGAGCACCAAATCTTCCTCCTGCAAAGGGTTTGTCTGAGGTGCCACTGATACTGTGGGAAGTGGAAACAGCCAGACAACTGTCCTATAGAGCTCTGGCCATAACCAGAGAGGGGAAGCCAGCCCATGAGCAACGCCCTGAGGGACAGATGAGTTCCCCTGGGTAACCACTCTGCCCTGCTCAGTGCCATAGGCTTTCTCCCAACAATGCCAGCTGTGTGAGGGAAGGCCCAGCTCCCAACTGCTATAGTCACTGATCTACACTGGGCTCTTGGTTTTGTGAAACCTTTATTATGAAAATCCACTTAAATAGATGAACTACTTTAAGTGACTTTTCAGTAGTTTTGGATTTGAAGGGGAAGGTCTCAAGGTAAGCTTGGAACCTTATGGAATCAAAAAAGATGGGAGGCACATCCAAGCACCCAAAGCCTGAGCACCACTGTGTGGGATTTGGCCAGGTCCTACACTGAGTCCCGAGTCTGCCCTCTGCCTGCAGTGTGCACTCCAGTGTATAGGAGACACTCAAGACTTGGCCACCAGGCTCAGGCCACATAGAAAAAGCTCTTGCTTCCCACACTTGGGCTGAGTAAGAAAGGGAAGCCTTTGATGTCAGGCCCTGGGCAGCATCCCACACCTCCCCTGCACTTACTGGGGAGCTCACCCTCCCCAGGCCCCTCACAATCTCAGGCATAGAAGATGAGCTCTGGGATCTGCCCACCCTGGACCCCCGTCCCATTGGTACTATCTGAAGAGCACTGGAACTGGAAGGCCACCTTCCCACACTGTACTTCCGTCATCCCTTCCTGCCCAAAGTAGCTAAGCTCRCTGCCGTCCAAGACAGCGCTGGCAGTGTAGAAGGTGTCCTGCTCAACTTGGACTGGGTGCTCAAACCAGACCGGGAAGGTGTTACTGGATCCATCCGACACAAACTTAGTCAGGTTCTGAGCCAGGACCATCCCCAGCCGCTTGAGTTCAATCTTTACAGTGTACTCAGCCTTCCCAGAGCTGGACCCATATAAGCCCAGACCTGCTATAAACACCCTTCTATCCACGGCAAACTGGATGCTGTCACAGCGCCCACGGTACCGCCACTGGTTGCTGCGGTAGGCAGAAGACTGGAAGCGGTGACACCTCTGTGGAACAAGGCCTTTCCTCTTGGTCAGGGGAAAGTCAAGGAGGGGCTTGTTGGCAGCTGTGTACCACAGGAAGATGTTGTGGGTCTCCTCCAGGGTCAGGATGTCCGACTGGGCAGCACCATTGGCAAACTCCTCCAGAGTCATAGTTGGGATTCGGACCAGATAGAGGGCTCGCCCCAATACGTGCCTCTTGTTATGTGGGGTGGCTGGCAGGCCCTGCCTTCTGCACTCTGCTTCAGCCCAGTTCAGGACAGCTTCAAAGACCACTGCCTCTTTAGTGTTGAGGGCCTCACGGGTCACGATGATCTCCAGGGTCTGCCGGTCAATTTCACAGAAGCCTTCCGACCGAAGGGCCATCTCAGCCTGTGCATCAATGACCTCCCAGCAGCGCTGGGTCAGTTCAGGTTCCTCAAACAGCCGGCTCTGGGACAGCAGGACGCATGCATTTTTGGCTTCCAGGCTTGTCTCCAAAAAGGTGACACAGGCTTTTGCTAGCGCAGGCACAATGTACTTCTTAGCAGCATACAGAGTCGCCAGCACCGTGTCAGCCTCCAACTCGATCTCATCACTGTACATGTACCTGGGCAGTGCAGGGACCTGCGTCGGGGGAGGGGGCCTGCTCCAGCTGGCCTGGGTAAGGAGCCTATGGGCTCCTGTGTGTGCGCCCTCCCGGGGAACTTCAGGAACCACCCTATCCTTCCAGCCCGTCAAGGAGAGCACTTACTTTAACAAGACCAGGAATGCCGCRGGCTCCACGTCAGGAATGTGGATTTCGGACTTGACCTCTGCAAGGTCCCCATAGAACATGGCATAGAAGACAGAACTGCCGACGGCCAAGACGTACTGTGGTTGGAAAAGAATCTCGTGAGCCACAGGGCAGTAAGGCAGGCCTGGGAAGGATCTGTCCAGCTACAGGCCAGCCCAGGGACAGCTGTGCCTCTACCCACCTTATGAGCGGGCACCCGCCTGGCCGCCCCCAGCGGCCCCACGATGAAGTGTACATCTGCCATGAGCTCGTTGTTGAACATAAGCGCGTTCCTGCAAGCGCAGAGGCACAGGGCTTGCACGGGGCGCGCACAGAGCCGCGGGGGCGTGCGGGCCGGCGTGCGGGCGGCTCACCTCTCGCGCAGCGTCGGATGGAAGGACTGCCAGTTGGGGCTCTCAGGGTTGTTGTTGTCGGGGGCGGGCGGCGCGGGCGCGGGCGGTGGCGGGGCAGGCGCCGGGCGGGGCGGGCTGCGCGGGCTGGCTTTCCTGCCCGCGGCCGCGCCAGCGGCGTTGCTGTTGGCGATGTCGGTGGCGGTAGCGGTGGCGGCAGCGGCCGCTCCGGCTGGCGGGTACAGCTCCGCGGCCATCTTCGTGCGCAGGGCGTGGGGGGCGGCCTCCGCGCTCGGCTGTGTCGCGCCGCGGGTCCTCGCACCGCGCCGGGGCCTGGGGGGCGGCTCTGCGAGCACCAGCAGGGAGGTCAGGCACTGCGCCACCCGCCCGTGCAGGCAGGCCAGCGGCAGCAGCATGGGGCCGCGCGGCGGCGGGCGCTACTGCCCCCGCCGCGGCCCTCCCCGAGGCCGAGGCCCGCCCCGGCTCCCACGGCCCGCACGGGGCCCACCCGCCCGGCGCCCGCCCCTCCCGGAGCCCGCGGCCCGGCCGCAGGGGGCGCCGTCCCGCCCGCCCGGCCGCCCTCGCCCGTACCCGCCGCGGCGCCGGTGCGTCTCGGCGCGTCGCTGCGCGTCACAGCGCGCGCCCGAGGACGCCAGGCTCCGCCCCTCGGCGACTTGGCCCCGCCCCTGACGTCGTCAGGGCCCGCCCTTCGGGATCCCTGGGCCCCTCTCGCAGACCCGCCCAACTCCCGCGGGAGGCGGTGAAGCTGTGCGGTGGGATGTCTGGCTGATACYCCTGCGGTCCCTGCCCAGCGGCGGTACCCTCCTGGGACCCGAACGCCCCGCTCCTTCCCGCCTTACGTCGGCACGCTTTTCTGTCACCCAGAAATGAGACTGCARAAACTTGGGTGTTGCAGAAAAACCGACGCAGCTGATTCCGCTCCTCGCTGGAGRACGTTACTCTGAGCAGCTTGGCGACGCCCTGAGGTCCCCTTCCAAGCTGCAAAGAGTTGCTGCCGGGGCGTCCCGCAGCCCTGTCCTTACACCCGACTCGGTGAGGACTTGGTGTGGGACCTGGCCGCCTCTCTTGCTCCTTAGGGCTTCTAGGCAACCGGTTGGGACCATGCCTCAGTACCCCGTCTCCGGGAAGTTGTGGTGGTTTGTTTGTTTTTGTTTTATAGACATCAGTGGTGAGATGTTGTCTCAGAATCCTGTTTATTTAAGGGCTTTTAGGACTTGGGGGGGGTTGCCAACTCATTGTGCCCCGATTAGTTTGTTGTGCCCCCTTCAGAATATGCGAAATGGTCCCAGGCCTTGCTAATAATCCACTTTCTTTCTGACCTTTGGTAATTCACGGGAATTTATATCACATTGTCTTCGTTTGCATTTCTTTGACTGTGAATGCAGTTGAACATGGTTTTGTGTTTGTTGCCCTTTTGTATTTTGTTCTGAATTTATTTTTGTGTTTTACCATTTTTTTAAAACAGATACTAGTCTTTTTCTACTTTGTTTGAACATGCTTGGTAATTTAGATCTTTGCAGACTAGAAGCAACCACTCATTGATGGCCTTTCCACCCTGCCCTGAGTGCTTTACATAGGCCTGCCCCAAGGAAGAGGAAGAAGGCAGAATTGTCATTTTCCTTGAGAGAACAATCACCAGAGGAGTTAGTAATGTGCTTAGGGTCACACAGCAGGTGGGGGTTGGTCCTAGGCACCCCGACAGCCTGGGCTGCTGGGGAACTCTTCTGGCCTCTGGGACAGTCTGATATAATCCCACCTCTTGCCTGGGGATGATTCCAGCTGGCAGTGTTTTGAAGATGCCCGCAGGCCCAGTGTGAGGGTCTCCAGTACTCTCCATACAGTTTGTTGGTAGCTTTGAACTGAGCCTCAGTAGTTGGTGACACCTGGCACACCCAGACCCAAGAATGGAGCATAAATTTCCATTTCTTTCCATGGTTATCTAAGTATTCAACCTCCTCAATTTGGAGAATGTTGTTTTCAGAAGGTATCTCCCATATTCCTGACAACAGGACTCTCCAGAACGCAAGTCAGGATGAAAAAAAGACCAACAACCCCGTTTTTAAAAGTGGGCAGAGATGTGAACAGACACTGCCCAGGAGGCAAGTGAGCCTGTGGACAGTGCACACATGATGAGTTAGCTGGGGTGAGCGACCGAGTCCCCCAGGTGGCTGAGCTCAAGACGGCTGAGGATGCCAGGCGCTGGGATGACAATGTGTCTCGCATCTGGCATTTTTGAAAGATGGTCCAGAAAATCCCAAGAGAAAAAGTGCACATGCCCACCTTGGATACAGAAGCCACAGCAGCATTTCACACTGTCAGAGCCCACTCTCAATGGTGCGCTGTGGTTATGTCCCAACCATTCTCAGAGAAAATGATAAAGGGCATGAACAGTTTTTAGCAAAAAGAACAAATGGCTAGAATGGAAAGAGTCCACATGTCTATCAGCATCAGAAAGGATGAACAGACTGTGGTGGGTTCATGCAGTGGGCATAGCGAGAATGAGCTGCGGCRGCCACACGCCAACCCTGAGCAGATAGCTGCCTGGGGAGGTGGACAGCATCCTGACCTGAGGGTAACTGTGGGGATGTGAACACCTAAAACCTTATACTTAAATAAAAAAAGAAAAGTTACCCCTTCCATCTTGTGTCTTAAATGTGTTATAACATTATGCACAGTAGTTACTCGATTTAAAAAAGTTTCTACTTCTGTATTCAGTTCTTTTATAGTTCCTAAAGCTTGTTTATATTTTTTGATTAGACTTGGTGGAGATTTATATGTTTATTGATCTTTTTAGAGTAGATTTTATTTATTCTTTATTGCGGTAAAACAATTTATTTTAATTTTTTGCAGTGCTAAATCCTTGGCCATGTGCATGCTGGGCAAACGCTTCTCCTCAGAGCTGTCCACCCCAGGCTCTCAACAGCATTGAGGGTACAGAGCTGCCTGGGCTCTGAGCACAGCGCTGCACGGCGTGTCTCAGGGCTGCTCATCTCTCATGGCAAAGCCCTGTTGAATAAACCCTCCCATTTCCCTCCTCCCAGCTCCTGTGGACCACTGTTCTACTCTCTTGTCTATGTGAGTTTGATGACTCTAGGGACCTTACGTACGTGGGATGGTACAGTCTTTGCCGTTTTGTGTCTGGCTTGCCCGTCTGGACCTAATGTCCTGAAGGTCCGTCCAGTGTTGTGATATGTCAAGGTTCCTTTCCAGTTTAAGGCTGAGTGATATTCCAGTGTGTGTGTGTGTTACCTCTTTGGCTTATCCATTCGTCCATTGATGGACTCTTGGGTTGCTTCCATGTTTAAACTGTGGTTTTATGTTGCTGTGACCATAGAAGTGCATATGGCCCTTTGAGATCCTGCTTTCAGTTAGGGGYTTCTACCTAGAAGTCAAATGCTAGAACATATGGTAGCACTATGTTTAGTTTTTGTTTTGTTTTCTGGTACCAAGGATTAAATCCAAGGGTGCTTAACCATTGAGCCATGCTCTCAGCCCTTTTTATTTTTTATTTTGAAAGAGGGCCTTGCTAAGTTGCTGAGGCTGGCCTGGAACTTGCAATACTCCCACCTCAGCCTCTGTGTCACTGGAATTACAGGTGTGCACCACTGCACCCAACTATGTTTAGTGTTTTGAGGCAACTTCATAGTGGCTTTTCCTTAGTAGCTGCACCATTTTACATTCACGACAACAGTGTGCAAAGTTTCCAGATTCTCTGCATCCTCACCAACTTTACAGCCTTGTTTTTGGTAGTGGCCATGCTGATGGGTGAGGTGGTGTCTTGTGGTTTTGGTTTATGTTTTCCTGGTGGTTAGTTTTGTTGGGCATCTTTCCATGTGCTCCTTGGCCATTTGCTTATCTTCTTGTGTTTTTTGTTTGTGTGTGGTTTGTGGTCTGGGGATTGAACCCAGGGGTGCTCTCAATGAGCTACATCCAGCCCAGCCCTTTTACTTTGAGACAGGGCCTAAGTCACTGAGACTGGTCTTGAACTTGCGATCCTAATGCCTCAGCCTCCAGAGTTGCTGGGAGTACAGGCGTGAACCACTGTGCCCAGCCTGCATGTCTTTGGTGAAATGTCAACTCAAGTCCTTTGCCCATTTTCTAATCAGCTTATTTGTTTTTCCTTATTATTGAGGTATTCAAATTCCTTCTATATTCTGGTCTGCAGACATTTCTCTCCCATTCGATACACCTGATGAAAGACTCCTTGGCTTGGTATAGAAAGCTTTGAGGTTGAAGTAGTCCTGTTTGTCTATTTCTGCTTTTGTGGCCCTTGTTCTTGTCCAAGAAGTCATTGCCAAGAACAATGTCATAGAACTTTTCCTGATATGTTCTTTTAGGGGTTTTATCTATCTCTCTCTCTTTCTTTTGCTTAGATGTTAACCTGTTTTGTTTTCATTTTTTCTTTTGATTTTGCAGTGTTGAGTTGAACCCAGGGCCTTGTGTAAACTAGGCAAGCACTGTACTGAGCTGCATCCCAGTCCTTCTAATCTGTTTTGAGTTAATTTTTGTACATATTGTAAGATAAGGGTCTGTCTTCACTGTTCTGAATATGAAAATCTAATTTTCCCTGCACCATGTATTGAAGAGGTTATCCTTCCCTCCCTCGTCTTCTCAGCACCTTGTTGAAGTTCTCTTGGCYGTAAATGCAAGGGTTTATTTCTGGACTCTCTTGTTTTGTTCCATTAGTCTATGGATCTGTCTTTACTGGTTTTATTTATTTATTACTTAGTTTTCTTTATTAGTTTTTTTCTTACTCTTTTTTGTTTACTCTTTTTTTCTGGTCTGGTGATTGAACCCAGGGGTGCTCTACCACAGAGTTATATCCACAGCCACCCCTTTTTATTTTTTGAGACAGGGTCTCACTGTGTTGTCCAGGCTGGCCTCAAACTTGTGATCCTCCTGCCTCAGCCTCTGTAGTACCTGGAATTACAGGCCTGTGCTACCACACCCAGCCTTTTTTTGCCTAGCTTTAAGGATTTATTTTGTTAATTTTTGACTTCTTATTGTTTAACTGCTTGGCTTTCTTTCTTTACTGTTTCTTCCTCAGTCTTGAAAGTCCCTAGGTCTATCAGGTGCCTGGAGGGTCACTCGGCCGTGGTGAGGAGGGGAGCCTGCTTGTCCTCAGTTTTGTGGCAGCGTGGTCAGAGGCTTCTGCTCTGAGGTCTCCTTTGTCTAAACTGTATTAAATGTGGGTTTCTTCCTTCTTTAACACACAGCCATTTGTGTAACTGCTCCAGACTTTGGGGAAAGGACCACTCTAGAGGGTCTGGGACTTCGACCTGGTTGTGGAGTGGAGTCCCAGAGGGTGTGTCTACTTCCCCATTAGCCTTGGTTCCTAGGCAGTCTCACGTTTGAAAGGGCTGTTACAGGCGCCCGTGGTTGGGGTGGCCTTTGAAGTCTGTTTCCAGTACTTCTTGCTCATGGTACTCTTCTCTGTCCCTGTGCATAGGGATGTGTGGCTGTCTTATCTGTCACACAGTGCTCACCTCTGTCCCTTTCAACACCCTTCTGCCTGTTGCCCACTTAGCTGGCTGCATCACAGCTCTCATCGGGGCCTCAGCCCAGCTTCTGTCCTTTATCTTTTGGCAATATTTTGGTGCCTTCYTCTCTCAGCTGATGAGGGATTTAATGGACATCATGTGATTTACATATGGGTTTGTTTTTGTTTCACCTGGTTTTCCTCCTTTCCTAGTTAAAGGGCCCATGCCCTATCCTGGTGACCTGGCTCATTTGTCTGAAATTCTTACCACTATTTCTTAATCAACATTTCAAGGACTAACATCTGAGTCCCACCCAGATCAGAATGAGATCTTATAGCACATCTCTGATCTCTGGTTCTGATGGCTTATTTTATTGAAAATAGATACAAATCTTAATTTTAAAGGGCCTCTCATTTTTCTGTGAATTATATCTTTTAGCAACTATATCACCAAAAGTTTTTTAAAAGGGCAGTAGCTGTGGACTCAGGCCCRAGCCCCGCTGTGGTAGGTGCCTCATGGTCTCAGGCAGGTTGCATGGCCTCCCTCTCTCCTTTTCTCACCTGAGAAGGGGGAATGGGTATCCACAGCTGCCTGAATTGGACCCCTGGGGATGGCTATTAGGATCCTGGGGCAGCAGCCTGGGATAGTCACAGCTGTAGGCCATCAGTGTAGGATGTGGTTTGGGTCCACTCCTGGGCTCGCGTTGCTCCTGCCTCAGCCTCCTGAGTCGCTGGGACTGCAGGTGTGTCACCATGCCTGCCTCTCTTTCCTGGTCTTTCAGTTGGCCGGTGATGGAGCTCCTTAGAGGATCTCGGGTTTCAGGGACCAGAGCTCAGCTTTACAAGGAGGAGGTCAGCTGGAGGCCTGGGAGGAGGGTGGTGGGTATTGCCCATGCTCCTGTCTCCCTCCTCTGCCTGTTCATCTCCATGATGGCCCTGCCCTCCTCTGCTGCCAACTGCAGTCCTTGCCTGCTGCCACAGTGACTTTCCCAGCCCCTCTTCCTCAGGCTTTGCTTTGTGGCCTCTCTTCAGCAAGGTTTCCCTGGACAGCCCACTTGTGGTTCTTTCAGTGCACTCAGATGTGCTGATGGAGCGAGATCAGATGACCTGGTTATTCCTACAAACCTGTTGCGAGCTCCACTTCCTTCCCAGCACCCAGCACAGTGCCAAGCACTGAGGCTAATGAGGCCCCAGGCCCCACTTGCTCTCCAATGCTCCTGCACTGGGAGGGTGGCTTGTGTGGAGCCCACACTGCCTGCTCTTTTTCCACCTCCCCTCTGAGCGCCAGAGACTGTTGCATCTGYGTGGCTCAGAGGCTCCCCTCAGCCTGGCTGTGGGAGGGCAGGAGCTGTGTTCTGGTGCAGTGAACACAGTGGCTCCCACAGCRGCTGTGTCTCAGGGGTGGGGCCTTGGGGGCTCAAGTGCACAGAGAGATGGATAATGGTCAACTCCAGTTCAGGGATGCTGCTTGATCTGAGTTATTTGTCCTGTCTGTTACTGACTGTGTGTGCATGCATACTGAGGGTTGTGTCTGCCACAGACCCCTGCCTCTACATCCCACGCTTTGCCCACCTGCTGGAGTTTGGGGAGAAGAATCATGAGGTGTCCATGACAGCTTTGAGGCTCTTGCAGAGGATGAAGAGGGACTGGATGCACACAGGCCGGCGCCCTTCAGGCCTCTGTGGAGCAGGTATGGTGGGAGCCCCAAGCCTGGCCTTGTGGTTACAGTCCCACTGGCTGGACTGCAGACACTAGTGATGTTTTCTATCCTGACCCTGGTGTGTGTGTGGAGCCAGGGGTTGGCATGGGGAACCCAGGCACCAAGCCTGTGAGGCAAGTGTTTTCCGATGGAGCTACCCCCAGACTTTGGCCTTGACCCTTGTACACCAGGCCCACAGGTTGGGGATGGTGTTTCCAGACTGGACCTTGCACTGAGCTGCCTCCTGTGCCTGGTCTGGACCTGGCCACAGGGTCCTCAGCCCTTGAGGAGGGTGGCTTGTGTGTAGCCCACACTGCCTGCTCTTTTCCCCATTGGCCTCTTCACCTCCTGAGATAAGGGACAGGCCCTCAGAAGCCAAAGGCACTGCTGGGCCTCTTGGCCTTGATCCTGGGTTTCCCATTCAAGGTGGATGTTGGTGTTTTTCGTGAGATTAACAGGGTGGCCTTGTTCTAAGCCACTGAGTCCTTGCTGCTGAGGGTGCCCCTGGACAGTTGTCCTGTGTTGCCTTGAGGCTGCTGCAGATATTCCCCAGGCTTTGCTCTTGGTACTTATACAAGGTCTGGCCGAGTGGCCTGGCCTCAGGGTCTTCTGCCCAGGAGGAGCCCCTGGCTGCCAGAACCCTGTTCCTCCTCCAACACCTATAGTGTCTTCTACTCTCTGGAAGGCCAGGGGCCAGCTTCTGTACTCATTTAGTGTGGGGCTAATGCCTGAGGCTATGTTTGAACTGCAGACAGTGGGCCACCCTGGCTCACCATAGCCTTGGTTAGTGGGTCAGCCAGCACCTGACCTTACTCCTCCTAGCCTGGGCCTCACTCTGGGAATCCTCAGCTCCTGAAACCAGCATTTCACATATAAGGTACTTTGAAGTCATTCTCAATATTTGTATTTTAATTTTTATATTTAAAAGTGGCATGTGAATATAGCCACGACCCAGAATGAGGTACGAACTCTCACTGCCTAGGAGTTCCCTGCATAGCGCGAGGGAAGGTGGAACCTGCCCTGCCCCMCTCTGCTCAACTGGAGGAGCCATGCTAGGAGAGCATGTCTCCACCCTGGCTGAGGTCGTGCTTGGAGTCCTGTCCCTGCCCCAGGTTACAGCAGAAGAACTTTGTTTTCTCAGCTCCCAATCCTGGCTGAGTTTTCTGAGCACCTTTTACTCTTTTTTAGCACTTCTGGTTGCAGCCAGAATGCATGATTTCCGGAGAACTGTCAAAGAAGTCATCAGCGTGGTCAAAGTGTGTGAGTCCACGCTGCGGAAGAGGTGAGGCACTTCAGCTTGTGGTGTCGGTGGTCACAGGAGCTAGGCTGCTTGTTGGAGTTGCTGCTACTGTCCTCTGGGGTCTCCCTGCTCCATGGAGGCACTCTCTCTTCAATCCCAGAATCTGCTAGGTTTAGTCAAGGTGGAGCTTGGTTTGTAGCGGGGCCCTGTCTTCCACCCCGTGTCTAAGCTGAGTTCACCTGAAGCATGGTTTGTGGAGGTGTTTTGAGTCACAGTTGCCAGGTAGCCAGCTGAAAGCTATTCTGATCTGCTGTTCGTAGCCTCTGCTGCCTGCTCAGTGTGGCCCATCCTGGCCTGAGCGCCTGCGAGGCCTGTCTCCCTGTGGGAAGTCTGGGTCAAAAGCTACCCCTTTATTCAACCAATGGTACATCCAGCAGGTGGGCATGGGCTGGGGCCTGGCATTCTGCGATGGCAGTATTGAGGGCTGCTCACAGCTCCCTTGACTGACCTTGATGCTGGCAGGCATGTAATTTGTCACCAGTCTCAGACACCTGATGCTGAGGTGGGCTTCAGATGAGACAATCCCCACAGCAATTTCCAGAAGCAGGTGGGAAGTCATCTTGCTTTAAGTATTCCACTTCTAATTTTTTAAAAAATTAATTAAACGTTTTGAAAATGATAGAAAACATATAAGAATTAAGCATTATGGCGCTGGGACTGTGGCTCAGCGGCAAAGTACTTGCCTAGTACGTGTAAGGCCCTGGGTTCGATCCTCAGCAACACATAAAAATAAAATAAAGATATTGTGTCCATCTACAACTAAAAAATAAATTAAAAAAAAAAAGAATTAAGCATTAGCTGGTCACAGAAGTGCAGAATCCCTGCCTGATACACTAGGCAGATGGAGACTCTGACCTGCTTCCCTCCTTGTACAGCGTTCCTGTGTCTTCTGGCCAGGCCCCGGGGCGTATGTATGGAGGCCTCAAGGACATGTGGGCCTTCTCCCAGAGACCTGGGAAGCTGCAGCAAGGGACTGGTCCTGTGCTACTGGTGGTGTGACCAGGGCCTGTGGAGGCCTCTTCTCGTAGATCAGTTTCAAATAGGTTTTCAGGGCATTGGCTCCATCTTACTTCCCCATTTTAGGCTCACGGAATTTGAAGACACCCCGACCAGTCAGCTGACCATTGACGAGTTTATGAAGATTGACTTGGAGGAAGAATGTGACCCCCCCTCGTACACAGCTGGACAGAGAAAGCTACGGATGAAGCAGGTAGCACCAGCCCTTCTGCCCTCCCCATAGCTCCTGGTCTTCTGAGAGCATTTGAGCTCTGACATGTCACATCCGAGTGTTGATTCCAGATGTGTGTGTAGCTGACTAGGCTAAACTTGGTCTACTCCTGGAGCAGGCTAACTCTGTTGGGCCTTGAGAACCAGGAGTTCTTGGGGCACGCTGCTCTGTACAGGGCCTCCCTCCCCTCAGCTGTGCTTCTGTGGGGCTGTCTCCACAACGTGGCAGTGACAGGGCCTCCACCGTAGCACTTGGAGTGCACCAGAGCCTGAGTGCTGCCCGCCTACAGCTTACGCTCATTGTGTTGTCCTTTTCCCACATGGCTTCCTCTTGCACAAGGGCCGTGCCCAGGGGTAGGAGTGGGGGTGGAGATGGACACAGGCAGCTGAGCCTGGGGCAGTGTATGGAGGGGTACCTGTCTGGAGACAGACTTGGCCCTGGCGTGGGTGAGGCATCATTGCCAGTTGTTCAGGAGAGCTCTGTCTTTCTGGGCCAGTTGTAATGTGATTGTACCTGCCCTCCCTGGGGCTGTTCCTATGGCCTGGTGACAGTGAGGCTTACCAGCATTTGACTCTTCTCTTTCAGCTTGAACAGGTCCTGTCAAAAAAACTGGAGGAAGTTGAAGGTAACTGACCAGACTTCCCGTGCATGTTTTAGTTTTGTTGGAAAAAGTAATTTGTGTTTACCTTTGGCTTGTAATTGTAATTGACTCCTTTAGGTGAAATATCCAGTTACCAGGATGCCATTGAGATTGAACTAGAAAATAGCCGACCAAAGGCAAAGGGGGCCCTCGCCAACCTATCAAAAGATGGTGAGTCTCACCCTCTCTCCTTGTCCTGGAGGACTCCGGGCCAGCACCCCAGAGACCTCTTCCTCTTCTGACCCTGGACCCCACTGCTCCTGCTGCTCCTTCCATGGCCACATGGTCCTTCTTCCATCCCAGGCTGCTGGTCCCCTGGTCCTGACGTGTTGTGCCGAGTGCCAGCTACTTTCTGAACACCCATCAGCAGCCACGTCCCCCAGCAGCCTCAGCACCCAATCTCTGTCCCCTAGTTCCTGCAGGCCAGCCTCCTGCTTCTGAGCCTCAGCTGCCCCTGCAGGCCCCCAGGGTCACTGTTCTCACTCTTGGCTAGGCAGCGCCTGTGAGAGAGACAGCCCCACAGCCACCTCGCCCTGCTCCTCCTTGCTGCCCACTCTGGCTCCACAGGCAGTGCTAAAGCCTGGCTGTGGCATGGGTGCTGCTCAGTGCCTGTCTTCTCCTGCTGTGCCCTGCCCCTGGTCCCCTGTGTCCAGGGCCTGTCTGAGGTGTTTGTGTTGCTAGATGGACCTGTCTCCCAGGCCAGGCAGAGATGGAGGAGTGCTCAGCTGCCCTTTGCAGCATCTGGTCCACAGTGGAACTTACAGCACCTTAGTCCCTGTGCCACCTCCCATGCCTTGGGTTTGGGGCTTGTGGTGCCACCCATGCCAGCAAGGCCAGGTCTCTGTACTCTTGGAGATCTCTGCTTATTGAAGCCAGAACCACGTGTGGCACCAGCAACTACCTTGCCAGGTGTGTGGGGTCTGAGAGAAAGGCGGCATGACCACAGGTCCCTGGTGTGCGCAGACACTGGCTTGTGCTGTGGGGGAGCTGTGAGACCAGCTTGTCTCCTCCCAGCCCTGCTTCGCTTTGTCAGTAAGCTTGTGTAAGCCACTGTCCCTGTCTTTCCCTCAGGACCTCTCCTGAGAACAAGCACTTCCCCCCCTCTGACCCTCTGCTCCATGTGCTGAAGCCTGTGACATCCCTTCCTCCAGACCTCTGCCTTCACTGGCTGCCTAAGTGGCCTCCCTCTCATTTCCATAGGTGCTCACTGCTGGCAAACAGTGCCCATTTCTGGGTGTTTGCTTTGTTCTCCTACATGGTAGGAATTCTGTAGTTGCTTTTAGTTGTTTTCCAGTTATCATTGGGTTTTCTAAGTAATTATGTCCCCACACACAGAAACCCTTCTGTTGTCCTTTACCGGTTCTAATGTCCTGAATTTCTTTCTTGGATCTGGTCTGTTGCCTGGCGTGGCAGCACCTTGTTGAATCTTGGTGGCAGGAACAGGCATGTCTCCACCGCCAACACCAGGGACCAGGTTTTGTGCTTTTAGCAAGATAGTGGCTCATGTTAAGGGAATGGCCACCTATGCRCCTCGGTGAAGCATTCTTATCCACGGCCAGTCTGTGTTCAGATGTCCTCAGGTCAGTGGAAACTGTTCCTCTGTGATTGATGGATGCACCATCTTCTTGAATGTCCCCCCTTTCCTGGTCCCTGGGAGGCACCACTTGGCTGCAGTAGTTGCCTTATCCGCTTGTAGAGTTGAGCAAAGTTGTGTTTTAAGTATTTTGTTTGTTCCATGGTTTCCTTTTTCACCATTTATTACTTTACACTTTGGTTTTCTGGGTGCTTTCCTGGCTGGGTCGTTGATTCCCAGAAGCCAGCCTTTTYGGTACTTCCTGGTTTTGCTGCCTGTTTGCTGTGTTGGTAGCTGCTGCCATTACCCTCTTCCTTCTTTCCAGCGCCCTTGCTGTGCCCTCCCTGTCACCTGCCTGCCTGCCTGCCTGTGGCATCTGTGGCTGCAGATCCTCTGAGCACTGTTGTCGGAGAATGTCTCATTTTCTCAGTCTCAGGTTGTTGGTTCTTCCATGTGTGAGGAAGCTTTGGAGGCTCTGGGGTGGGTGTCTTGTGGCTTTGGTGTAACATCTGCTTTCCTGATATCTTAACCAGGGCGTGGTGCTGATATGTTTGCCCTTGGTGGAGAGTCCTAGGACATGTGATAGCCCTAGTCACGTGGGAAGCAGGCACTCCACATTGTGGCTGGCAGGCTGGCTGGACCTGTCATGTTTTTGCTCTCCATGCGCATGCAAACAGTGCCCATGGCTCGAGTTGCCTGGGCCTCTGGGCCTCACTGTCATCTACTCAGTGGCCTCTCTCACACACAAAGGTGGCCACTGCCTGCTGCTGCTGCTGTGACACGAAGGTTTGTCTTCTGCCCGTGACACCTGGCCTTGCCCAGGTTGGAGGCCAGCCCTGGGGGCGATGGTCGTTTCATCCTGCTTGTCAGGTGATCTTAATGCTTCCAAGATCCATTTCATCGGCATTCTGTAGATTTTGCTTTTCCGGCCCACATCTAAGATATTTTTCCCTGACCCTTTGCCCACCTGGGGACTTTTCTTACACCATGAAGACCTGGTGTGGCTGTTTGCTCCAACCTGAAAAGCCTGGTTTCTCCTGGTAGTGGAAGGAAGCCCATTTGATTGTTGATAATTCTTTCCACATGGCACTCTCTGAACTTGGTCTGGGTTCTGTTCCTGCTATTCTCTAGGTAGTGTCTCCTGTCCTCTGTCTCTTGGGCTGTGTCTGATCACATTGCCTCAACCATAACAAAACCCTCCTTGCTGTTTGCTTCCTGTGAGGCACAGCAGGAGGCCTGTGAGGCCAGAGTGGGCACTGGCCAGGTCAGGCCAGARCACGGCTTCCTGGCTCAGGCCGTGCACACTGCAGTAGGACTGTGGTTTCTGCTGGGCGCTGAGTCACTAAGGGCCCGAGAGCAGAGGGGTTGGGGCTGGATTTACTGCAGTGTGGGGAGGTGGGACTTCTCTGGAGGTACTTTGGGGTATATGGTGGCCTCTGCAGGGTCCTGGCTAGCTCCACTGGGGAAGGGAGACTTAAAGGTCAGGACAGAGCTGTGTGCAGCAGCCTGTCTAGAAGGCTCGTCTCCCCTGTGGTCTCCCTGCTCTCTGGAGACCCAGCTCTTCCCTAGGAACCCTGTGAAGGTAGGGCCCTCCTGTGACGTGCAGTGCTAACTGTGGCTCTAAGAGCTTGCGCACCATCTGACTCTGTCTCGTGCAGGAGGAGGTGCAATTGGCACCCATCAGTCTGCACATGTAAGGCTTGCCCTTTGGCCTTTGAGCTTTGACACCTGCACACAGCTGTGAAGCTGCAGCACAGGGCGAGTCAGACCTGCCAGTGCAGAAGTGTTCTTYGGCCTTTGCTACGTGACCTCACCTTCCTCTGCAGGCCACCACTGACTGTTCTCAGTCACCCGTTCAGTTGGTTTTCTAGACTTATGCAAAAGTCTTTTATGTTCATAATGCCTGCTCTTTTTATCTCTCTGGCCTTTTCCCTTTAGTGTAATTATTTTGAATAATCCACTGATAATTTATTCTTTTTTGTTGTGCTGTAATAGGCTGTGAATATACTTGATGTTGTTCATTCATTTGTCTATTGAAGGACATTTGGGTTATTTCCTGTTTTAGACCATTACAAATAAAGCTGTTTGGCTGGGTGCAGTGGCACACGCCCGGAATCCCAGTGACTTGGGAGGCTGAGGCGGGAGGATGGCAAGTTGGAGGCCAGCCTGGGTAACTTAGCAAGGCCCTGTCTCAAAATAAAATGGAAAGGGGTAGCTCAGTGGTAAAGCACCCCGGGTTCTATCACCAGCACTAAGAGAAAAAAAACACCCACTATGAGCAAACCACCATGAGCCCTGTGCAGTCGGCAAGGGCGCTGCTGTCTTCTATCGTGGGCGAGGGGCGCAGGGGCTGTTTCTGGGTAAGGCTTTGAGTCTCTAGGAAGTGGCCATGCTGTCCCCAGTGGTGCACTGTGGCTTGCCCACCAGCGATGTGTGTGAGCTCCAGGGGCTCTGTCCCCTGACACTTGCGTCCCATCTCATCAGCGTCCAGTTGTGCTGATGGGTGTGTCGGTGCTGTGGTGGCTCCCTGTGGTTCAACGTGCGTGTCCTGGCGATGTCATCCTGACCCCGATGTCCTGCCTGCTGAAGTGCCCATCTGGCTCCTGTGCCTGCTTCCCCCTTGGGCCGTGCTTCCCGTGGAGTTTGGACTCAGTGCCTGGACCAGCTGCCCATGTCTGTGCAGCGGCTCTGTGGAGAAGCCTGAGGTTGTCTTGCCTGGCGGTGTCTTCCGAGGGCAGGTGATCTTAACGCTTCCAAGATCCATTTGATTGGCATTCTGTGGATTCTGCTTTTCCGCCCCACATCTAAGATATTTTTCCCTGACCCAAAGTTACAAACATTTTGTTGTTTTTCTGAAGCACTTAAACTTGGGCATGCAGCCCGTTTCCAGTGAGCTTTTTTGCATGAGGTGCGGACACTTGGGCATCCCCAGCACTATTTGTTGGCGGGACTCTTCTTCCTCTGTTGCAGAAAAGGGCATGTTTTTGTGAAAGTGTTTGTTTTCTCAGTTGTTCTGCAGCTTGGCAAAGGCGTCACAGAATTGGGTCTCTGGCTTTTGCCTGGCTGACAGGTTGCATGTGAATTGTGTCCCTAGGCTCTGCTGAGGACACTACATCCAGCCTTTTTGGTGAGGAGGACATCGAGGATGAGGAGCTAGAGGCGGCAGCTAGCCACATGAACAAGGACTTCTACAGGGAGCTCCTGGGTGGCGGAAGTGGCAGCTCAGAGGCAGCAGAAAGCCCTGAGGAGGGCAGCAGAGCCCTGGCCTTGGAGTCCCTGCTTGGCCCCCTGCCCACAGCGGCTAGCCTGGGCATCTCAGACTCCATACGCGAATGTATCTCTGCCCCGAGCCGGGACCCTGGTGAGTGCCCTGGGAAGGGCAGGTGGTGTTCCCAGTCCGCCTGACCTCTTCCATGGAGCGAATGGGAAGCCACTGTGGTCTCTAGGAGAAGCAGCATGCTAGAAGGGTGGGCCGAGGGCACACTACGGCCCGTGCCCAGGGCTGTGTGGAGAAGAACTGGGTGTATGCGTCACCCACAGTGTAGCAGGTCCTGTCACTGTCTTCCGTAGCTTCCCCTGCCCCACGGCCTTGGCTGGCTTGCTGCCCGGGGCCCTGGGCTTGAGTGGCTGCTGTGTGACAGAAAGGGGCGTTGGCAGGGACCAGTTGCTCACCCCTCCTTTTTTGTTTCCATGGTGGTGGGAAAGCTTGGCCTGGGGGGTGGGCTTCACTGTTGGGAGCATTGCCTGTTGAGTTTGAGCAAGACAGTGATGAGGTACCTGAGCAGGACAGGTGCCCTCTTCCCAGGGCTCCTGGTCCCTGTGGCTCCTTCCCCTTCCATCTCCCAGGTTGGGTGTGAGATGGGACTGGGGTGCTAGTAGCCCCATTTCTGCAGGACAGGCTACCCAGGCAGCATGTTGCCCTCAAACCCTGCCTTCTCTTCAGGAAAAATGCTCTGTCATGAGGTGTGGATTGCATGACCTCAGGCAGGGATGACACATGATCCTGTAGCAAGGACGACACGTGAGGGTGCCTGGGGAGGTCACAGCACCAGGCAGAGGGCATATACAAAGGCCCTGAGGCAGCAGGGGCCCAGTGATCTGGAGTAGGAAGAGAGTGCTGTGTGACAGAAAAAGCAAGAGAGAGGGSGAGCAGACCAGAACAGAGGCCTCAAGGGCTGGCCTGAGCACTGAGAGCACCCAGACGGCTGGCCTGTGGCCAGAGTTGATAGCCTCCTGTGGGGATACTGAGCAAGGGCCTACCTGCCAGGCGGTGCAGCCTGCCTTTGACCATGCTGGGSCAAGAGGCCTGGACTTCTGGACTCATATAACGTGTCTGCCCTCAGTCCTGTGACCCAGCTGAGGGGCACCAGCATGCCCAGCCCCACCTTCTGGCCACACTCCCACCCAGCCTTCCCCAGCAGCATCTCGCCTGGTCCTGGCGCAGGGCCAGAGAGCCGGTATCCCCGTCGGAAGAACTCCTCCCTCTCACCAGGTGCGGGCATGTGGGTCTTCTTTGCAGCTTGGGTTTGGTGTCCTGCTTTCTCAGTTAGCACTCTGACATGAGCACTGTCCCCATAGCACTTAAAGACAGGCCTGTGGCCTGCAGGATGGAGGAGGTGGGGCTCCCAGAAGCTCCTCCACCCAGGCCTGAGTCCCAAACCAGTCCAGCGGTGTCTGTGCTCCTCTAGCAGGGCCACCCTGAGCAAAACTGACGTGGCCCTTCCCTCTAGAAGACACCTCGGGGGACGGGGAGCTGGACCTCAGCGGCATCGATGACCTGGAGATCGACAGAGTGAGCCACCGCTGCCCTRGGCTACAGGAGTTGGTTGGGCTCTGTGGGAGGCTGAGGGGGGTGGTCTCCAGGCTCCAGCGTAGGCGGCCTGCATTTTGAGATCTTTGGGCCTGGTGGTTTCCCTGGGCATCCTTAGACACTCCCTAGTGGAAGGATGGTCTTGGGTAGTGCCCACACCCACGGTCCAGTCCCCAGACTCCTCCTCCCAGCCTGTTCCAGCCTCAGTTGCCACAAGCCCTCCCTCTGAAGCCAGGGCCCTGAGCTCTGCCTCTGTTCTCTGCCACCACCCACTCACCCTTTTGGGGTGGCCTTAGTCCAGGAGGATGCCCATAGAGGCATGCACATCGTACACCTCCGATCCCAAACCCCGGGTCCAGGTGTGTGCACCGACTCTGGTTTATCTCATTGGTATCCGTTCTCCCATATTTCTCTCTGATTTTATTGCCACGTGATGCCTGAGCCTGTCCATTTGTTCCTGTGTTGGAATTGTACACCCTTATCTCCCTTCCTGGGACCTATGGCCTGCACTCTGGAGTCAGCAGGGCTACAGACTGCCCTAGAGTCTAGGAACCCTGGACACTGCTCCATGGCTCAGTTTGTGGCTTCAGAAAGGGCAGAGGAACGATAGACAGCTTCCATGCTGAATAGCGGCCCATCGTGTGTTTCCTCCCTTTGATGATTCAAACATGGGAAGGGAAGTGTGTTCCATGTGGGAGATCTTAGGGACCTCTCATAGTGCGGGGTCCCCAGCTGAGCACCTTCACTGCTCTGTGCAGTACATCCTGAATGAATCGGAGGCCCGAGTGAAGGCTGAACTGTGGATGCGGGAGAATGCCGAGTACCTGCGGGAACAGAGGGGTAAGCGCCCACCTGCCCTCCTGCCCGCCTGCCTGGGCCTGGGGGCTTCAGGGGCTTGGCCTCACTGATGCCAGCCACTCTGCTCGACTGTTTATAGAGAAAGAAGCGAGAATAGCCAAGGAGAAGGAGCTCGGCATCTATAAGGAGCACAAGGTAGGCACCCCGAGTGGGCCAGGGAGCCGGAGACTTCTGATGGGAAGAGACAACTCTGGAGCACAGCCTTCCCTGGCACAGGGCCAAGGCCAGGGCAGGCAGTGGCAGTGGAGTGCTCCAGACCCACTTCCCCGCTGGTCTTTGGTTCCACTGTGGATGGATGGACGTGCCACTCGGCTTTGGGGCGAGGTCCCTTGAGGCTGCTTCTCATTGAGGACATTAATTTTCTTTATGTCCTGGGGAGGTCTGACTGACGGCCCCCTGAGTGGCTGGCCTCTGTGGCTGTGCGGCTCAGCTCTTACTCTAGGGCTTCGGCAGCAGCTCGTCCTCCACTTGATGATTTTGGAAGGGGTTTAGCCTCTTGAGTGTCTGAGCAAGAGGAAGGATGGGAGTCTGGACTCTTGCTGGCCAGACCGAACTCAGGACCCAGAGGAGGTGGAGAGGACAGGTGTGAAACCTGCCTTTCAGGAGGACCCCTGAAACTTGAGTTGGGACGTTGAGGGCCCAACAACCCCCCCACCAGCAGCATGCCCACGTTCTGCTGAGCACTTGCCTTTTTTCTCCACCAGGGGTGACCACACTAGGGAGGTCAGTGTGGTGGGAGGTTGTATAGGCTCAGCATCACCATGGTGTCTTGAGCCAGCCGGTAGGGCTTGCCCAGTGCAGGCTATGTGCCCCAAGGAGCCCCAGTGTCACAGGATATGATCGTAGGTTGCAGGACAGCAGCTCACAAGGGGAATTACTTTTGTGTTTCAACCAAGCCCAAGAAGTCTTGCAAACGTCGGGAACCCATCCAGGCCAGCACAGCGGGGGAAGCCATTGAAAAGATGCTGGAGCAGAAGAAGATCTCCAGCAAGATCAACTACAGCGTGCTCCGTGACCTCAACAGCAAGGGTGGGCGCAGCCCACAGAGCGAAGACGCGCGGCCTGCAGAGAGGGCCAGCTCCAAGAAGCTGTCACGGAGGAGAACTGCAGCCAGCAGGAACAGGGCTGACCCTGGGACCAGCATAGGAAAGAGGTACTGTCCTGTCCCCTCCTCTGGGCTGCARTGCACCAGCCGGGAGAGCCCAGGAGCTGCACTGCCCTGCCGTGTCTAGAAGCCGACTTGCTGCCTCCTAGTGGGGGGAGACTGTCCTAGCTCCCCTTGCCTCGGGCCCTGGGCTGATCAGGCACCAGCGGCATCAGGGTCTGTGCCATCTGGAGAAAGCAGTGGGCTCCCTGGCCCGGATGAGTCCACGTGGGCCAGCCCCAGCCTGTCCACACCCTCTGCAGCTGTGCAGCCAGGGGGGAGAGGTGTGGGCCCGCTGCGCTCCGCCCCTGGGGTATGGTGGAGGGGAGGGGAACAGCAGCCACAGCAGCACCTTCCTGTGGGGTCAGGACCAGTTGAATGCCAGAGGGTGCTGTGGTCTCGAGCTGTGCCACGGGGTGGCTGAGCTGCACATGGCCCTGCTGTGCCAGGGTCCCCTGACAAGGGCCCAGGGTGCTGGTTGGAGCCTTCCCCTGGCTATGAAGATGGGCTGGGCACCCAGCGCAGCCGTACCTGCCTGCCCCCAGGCCTCCCTGGGTTGCCTCTGCCTTCTCTATTGTTGCTCTTTTTTTTTTTAATAATATTTATTTTTTAGTTGTAGTTGGACACAATACCTTTATTTTGTTTATTTATTTTTATGTGGTGCTGAGGATGGAACCCAGGACCTCACCCGTGCTAGGCGAGGGCTCTACCGCTGAGCCCCAGCCCAGCCCCTATTGTGGCTCTTTTTAACCATGGGTCACGACGAGGAGGTGCCTTCTCCCCTCTGCGCATGTGCCTGTCACGTGGCTTCCCTCTTGGTGGCGAAGCATCTCTGTTTACCCGTCCATTCATTTGACAGCTTCTAGGGTCAGTGTTGTGTCCAGAACAGCCTTTTCTTTGTCCAGGTTGTGAGGAGATCTCTTTTGGGGTTGGTTTGTTTTGTCCTAAGTTTCTGATCCATCTGGACCTATTTTAGCATGAGGATTGGGGTGAGATCTGCGAGACTCTGGGTGGCTGGCCATTGATAGGAGGTGCTCTCCCAGGGACCCTTCCTGGGTTGGCTGGCTGTCCTGGCCCTGTGGGTGCCAACAACCTCCCTCAGCACCTGCTTGCCCAGCTGTGGGTTCTGCTGTGCACAACATGGTGGTATTTGGTGGGTCCGTCTCAGGAGAGTGTTCTTTGTGGACTGTTTATTTTTTCCTAGAACTTAAAGGAGATGTCTAGACCTGACCTTTTCCTACTGGCAGTGTGACCATCTTGCTGGTGGGGATGTTCTTAAGGGTTTTGTCTTCCTCAGCTGGGGACACAGGGATCCCAGGGTCCCCTGGAGTCCCAGGCTTGTGCTTGCTCCTCCTGCTGTGGTTGCCTGCCATGGAGTTGCTTAGATGGAAAACACTTGTCTCCTGGGTCCCTGGTGCTCCCAGCAGCCTCACTGGTCTGCAGGTTAGGGACCTTCCATGGCCTCTGAGTCCCAGTGTGCTCCAGACCCCCGCTCCTCCACCGGCTGGCTGGCTGTGTGGCTGCTTGAGGCAGCAGCTTCCTGAATGGACCTTGAATTTTCTCAACTGACCTTTCAGCCTGTCTGTGGCCATGTGATCTCTGCCTTCAGGTATCCAGGTCTCAAGTCTTGAACACGGATTCCCAGTGCAGCAAGCTGGGACTGGGTGGGGGCAGAGGCCGAAGCCCGCCCATCCTCGCTGTCACTCACCCTGGCCTCAGCATTGGTCTGTGTCTCATTGCTATTGCTTTGACAGTGCTGGAGATTGAACAGCTGCAGCTGGGAAGCAGGGGTTCAGAGAGGCTGTGGACCCTGCCTGAGCCTCCCTCTGGCCAGGTCAGGCCTGTGGGCATCAGGGAAAGTCCTGTTCTAGTGTGTGATTCTGGCACCATCTGCAAGCTGTCTGACGCCAGCCTGAGAGGCCCCACGTCCCCGTTCACTTGCTGCTTCCTGAACAGAAAGCTGCCAGCCTTCCCCTGAGTGGCCAGGATCAGAGTTTATGAATATCTAATGTCCACATCTGCCTCCACCCTACCCAGCTATGGCTATGCAGCTCAGGCAGCTCCCACAGGGCAGGGAAAAATCCCACAGGCCTCCAGGGTGCCAGTGTGCCCTCAGCCCTTGGCGGCTTTGCCCTCCATGCTCAGCATTGAGGAGAGAGTGCACAGGCTGTGGCTGAGGTCTGGCCAGGAGCCACAGGGCTGTAGCAGCTGCGCACAGGGCTCTGCCTCCTGCCAGGGGATGGCCCACCCCACCCCAGCCCAGCCCAGCATTAGTGGCCCCACTGCAGGGCCAGCAAGAACCTGGTTAGTTCACCCTGCAGGGCTGCTATGCTCAGCTACTTGGCCACAAGGTTTGGACTGCTGGGCGCTTCTGGGTGGGTAGGGAAGGGCCTGGAAGAATTGATGGGCTTGGAGGAAGCATGACCGACAGACAGCCTGCAGGTCCCTGCAGGAGGGCATCCTACCAGACATTGAACTGAAGAGGCCCCAGACGTGATGGCTTTGTCTTCCCCAGGGCCCTGCTCTGGATCAGGCAGCTCCTGCCTCCTTTCCTGAGCGCCTGCAGCCCCAGGATGGCGGTGCCATGGCTGCCCTGCCTGTCACTGTCTGGTCAGCTGCTCCCAGTCCTAGGCTGGTGTGTGCTCCCCACCGCTGAGCCAGTCGGGAGATACTGAGTGGGGCTGCTCTGACCTGCATGTCCTTCCTGCCCAGGTCAGCTGCCTTGGGTCCAGGCCTCTGCTCACAGGCTCAGGCCAGACAGTGGAGCTAGTGTGGTATCCAGCTCCCAGCCCTGCAGGTGTCAGGTGGGAGGTGTCCCCCCCCAGCACATAGCCTACTGCCTGGGCAGATGGGCTTGGCTGTCACCCTCAGTCTTGCTGTGTTTGGGGAATTCACTGTGGCATTTGCTGTTGAGACTGAGAGGTTCCCAGCTGAAGTGGTGGTGGGTTTGGGGGCAGCCATCTGCTGGTGGCCCCAGGTCCCTGGGCCTCTGGCTGACTGGGGACCGATCTGGCAGGAGGGAATGCTAGGCAGAACCTTGTTCTCCAGGTGCTTATAAACCCTTCTGTGCCTGGCTGGCAACCTTGGTTCCACCTGGATCACACTGGTGGCTGCTGGGTGGTTTTTGTGATGTCCACCTATTCCAGAACCCCTTCCCAGTGCCCCCAGGTTCACCCAGCATGTCTTAGCTCACAGGGCTAGGCCTCAGAGGGCCCCCAGCAGATGGAGTGGCTGCAGTCCTCTATTCCCCCCACTGCTATGTCCTGGAAGGAGTGGCTCCACCCCCTCTGTCCTACTGCTACAGGCCCAGAGCCCATGTATGCCAGCCTGGGTGGCACTGTGTGGCCAGGGTTAGGGATCAACATGTGCCTTCTCTCCTGGGGACCCCATCTTTCCCTCTGAGAAGCCTTCAGTGTCAAAGTGCGTTTGTGTTTGGAGGGTTTGAGGACAGAGGGCAGTGCAGGGTGCTGCTAGCAGAAGTCATGGGGCTACTACTGTAGACTATGTGGGGCATTTGACGGGTACTTAGAGCACCTCCCCTGTCCTTCCTCATCTTCCTCCTCTCCTCTGTCTCCTCTTCTCTTCCTCCAGAGACTTTTGTGATTAACCAGGGGAGTGTCACAGGGAGAAATGGACAGGGTCCACATGGCTCCTGCCCATGCCTCTCATGTATTTCTCCATAACCACCCAGAGCCTCTCCACCTGCCCCTCTTGCAGTCAGGAAGTGGGGTGGCCTCTAGCTTGCATTTTGGTGTCATGTGCATGGTTCACCCATTGATTAATGCAGACACATATAGCAGTCCAGTCTTAGGATCAACACAACTGGACTTCTAGGAGCGGCAGAAAAGCTGGAGCACCTAGCGGAAACAAGGAAGGAGCAAGGGGGTCCAGGTCAGCAGGGGGCCTTCGGGTAGAAGAGAGATTTGGAGAGGGCCAGGACAGATGTGCCAGAGTGCACAGACCCCCAGGTCTGGTGGAGAGCCCTGTAAGGCCAGCCATGTTGCTGGAGGCACATTCCGAAGGGAGCAGCTCCAGCCAGGGCAGCAGGCAGGACCACTGGGGTGGGTCCTGGTGTACTGAGTGGGTGCCAAGCCACATCCTCCACCAGGTGGTGGGGGCCCTCTGAGGCAGTGAGAGCCGAAAGCAGAGCTGGCTGAGACTGCGTGCCATCTCTCTTTCAGGTTGAGGCCCCTGGTATCTATGCAGACGGCTAAGAAGGCGGCCATGGGAGAGGTGCGTTGTTCTGCCCAGCCAGGCCTTTGGCCTCAGGAACAGCTCACCCGTGACCAGGTCTGATGGGAAGGGGCCCAGGGACTGTTGCTCCGACACTGGCCTGGCACAGACAGAGAATCCTGAAGCTCAGGGGTGCCTAGGAGCAGAGCAGGAGGGAAGCGAGGGCCAGGCACAGAGCCTGGTGCACACGTCTGTCCTGCCTGAGGCCAGGGCCAAGGGTGAGCCGGCCCCCACAGTGGACAGTGTGTGGCAGTGGCCAGGGCACACACTGAGAACTGCCTTGCAAGTTCTGGGGGCTGAGTGTGAGGCTTCTTTCTCACCAGAGGCAGCCTGGGTGGGGGCCTTGAGCTGGGTACTGTGCTGGTACAGCCTATTGTACACCCCAGGAGATTAGAAGGGGCCCGTGGGTACTGGGAGTCAACAGACCCTCTGACAAGCTCTCGTAGGGTGCAGGAGCATGAGGGCCCGTCCGGGGCTATCCTGAGAGACACCAAGGTCTCTCCTATAGTCTCTCCTGTGGCCATCTCTCCACTCCCATCCTTCCAGGCTGTGCTCCCAAGTCCCCCTGCCCTGGGAGCCGAGCTGGTCAGGCCAGCAGCAGTCCTGGTGGAGAGCGGCCCTGTGTCATACCACCCCGAGGAGGACGCGGATGAGGAAGACGCAGATGAAGAGGATGGGGAGCCCTGCGTCAGCGCCCTGCAGATGATGGGCGGCAATGGTGGGTGGTGCTGCACGTGGTCAGGGGGCCTGACACAGGCACTGGGCAGGGGGGCTTCCAGAGAGATAAAGGTACAAACCTTCTGCCCCTGGTGATCCCCGAACACAACACAAGCCTTTGGCTTCATACTAAATTTTTCTTTGAAAAGAAGGAAATTTGTATGAAGACAGCATAAACTGGCCATGTTGATTCTGAGGCCCTAGGACATGTTAGAAGAGCTGGCCAGGGCCTAAGAGGCCAACTCCATGGGCACAGCAAGGCACCTGCTGTGAAGGCCATGGTCTGGGCTTGACTGGAGTCACTGGGGAGGCTGACCATCCAGCAGATGGGGTTTCCAGGCCTGACAGGTGGACAGACGTGTGCACTCAAGGGTGGGAGGTGAGGCTGGCCAAACTGCAGACACCTGCCCAGTCAAGAACTGAGGCTCCCACACTGGGCGCACACCAACACCCCCAACCCCAAGATAAGATAGTCCCCACAGTGGTGGGACTGGTCCTGCAGCCTCAGGGAGCAGCTCCCTGAGGGCAGCGAGGGCTGTGAGCTTCCATAGTCGCCCTCTGTGCTTTGCAGATTACGGCTGTGACGGTGATGATGATGAAGGCTACTGAGTGTGACCTCAAGGCCAGCAGCATCCTGGCTCTGGACCCTGATTGTCTGATGGGGATTGGATGCCCTCTGGGGCCACTGTTTGTAGGCACGAATGCCAAGACTAGGGACCAGCCGAACACTGCCCTGCTTGCTTCGAAGCCCTCATCCCATGGCCATACGTGGCCTCCATGGTACTGTTGGGATCATGTTTTGAGCAAAGTAAGGAATATTTCTACCCAGCAAGGAAAACCAGACTGACTATCTGCGTGTGTCTGATTGGACATGGTTGGGAGTATCCAAGGCCTTTGTCCCATGATGTGTCCCAGCTTCCCAGTCATTGACTACCCAAGAGCACTCAAAAGCAGGCACAGCGTGTCCCACAGCAAGGAGACCTTGCTTCTCGTCAAGCCAGTGGAGGGTCAGGTGGGTCCAACCCTGTGGCTCTAGCACCTGTTCTTGGCTGGTGGCCCAAGTGCTTCCCCCTCCCGTCATCCCCCAGAGGCACTATACTCCCAGTTCCCTGTGGAGCTTGGTGTTCTGGGACAGCAGGGAGGAGGCAGCTGTGGCTGGTTCCTCCCTCACTCAGAGGCTCTCAGGCTCCCTGAGGTTCAGGAATGCCCACCACCCAGCCAGCTCAGGCACCAGCACACTGGGACCCTGTGTGGGCTTGTGGGGTTTGCACTAGGAGTCTCTACCGCTGTCAGAGGGCAGTTGGTCGAGCCTCTGCATCTGCACGCCCTCCCTGCCAATGCCAGCATGGCCTGTGTGGGGTGCGGGGCCTGGCCTACCCATCACATGCAGGGCCGTTTACCTCCTGTCTGAGCCAGGCTCAGGGGTAGGCAGCGAGTCTCAGGTTACCTGACTCGGGCACAGGTCTCAGGCCTTGCTTTCCTGGATGTGGCCCTGGGATGGAGGGCAGCCAGGTGCTTGTGCCCCAGTGTAGGCCCCTCAGGAGAGTGACTGCAATGACAGAACCATACCATACTGCCCTTCCTGGTCACCCTCTACCTCCACATGGGTGGGCTGGCTGTCCAGTGAAGGATCCAGACCCCAACTTTAGCACAGAGACTGGGTTGGGGCCTTTGAGTCCTTGCAGCCAACTGCTGTCCCTCTGCCTATACCCTGCAGCCAATCTGGCCCCAGAGTCATTAGAAGGCTGGGGAACTAATTTGTGAAGAAAGAAAGACCTGTTACCTGAGAGATTTGGCTGAAATTGGTGTTTGTGATTCTGCAACCTACACTTCTGCCATGGGGTGGCCTTCTGGGAGCAGGCTGGGGACAAGCTCAGCACACCCAGCCCTGTTGTTCAGATGCTCCATGGGGATCCTGTGGGCATGTTCTCAGCACTGGCTGTTCTTGCTTCATAGCCACCCCTGCCTGTCAGGTCTTGTGGTCCTGGAGTGCCACTGCCTGGACTCAGGTCAACAGCTGGGTGCCTAGCCACTCAACATGGCCTGTCTTGGCACTTGGCTGTGGAAGAAGACCCTGGAAGCTCTAAGGCTGCCTGAATTAGAGAGAGCGTCTAGGATGCATAGTCTAAGGACCGTCCTCAAACTGTGGCAGTTGTAAGTGGGTATATTGTGGTGCCAGGGACTGAACGGGATGAATAAGGTCCCCTTGTGGGCTTCTAGCAGAGTGCAGAGCCAGAGAGCACTGGGAAGAGGGTGCACAGGGAAGACATGCTGGGGGATGGCATATCTGAGGCCTGAACTTGGAGAAGGGTCACCTGAAAACACCTGTGGGTCAGAGCAGCTGGGTGGAGTAGAAGGACATGCAGGCTGCAGGCAGGGAAGGGTTCACTGTGCCTGCCCTGCAGGGAACAGATGGCCAGAGATGACAGAGCTGGGTCCAGCTGGAGAGGGAGGAGGGCTGGTGTGAGATGTCCTGGGAGGAAAGTTAGCAGCGCTACCAGACCCTGGGTGGAGAGTATGGAAAATCAGAATCGAGGTGTTTCTGGGGTTGTGGCTTGAGCTACAGGGAGCTGGGGCACTCCTCAGAGACTGCCTTTGTTAGCAGTGGGCCTTCCAGAATTTGGCTTCCACATGGGCAGCTGGGTTTGGGAGGTGGGTTTCCAGGATCCACAAAGCCATGGCTGGCCATTTCTCCTCAGAAGACTGAGAAAAGGGGTCCTGAGGCAGAGTGGTGAGCTCTGGAGGCCAGGGGGGAGTGGAACTGGGGAATGTCCAGCTTGCAGGGAGGGATGTGCTGTGGGGAGGGCTTGGTGCTGGGCAGGAGGACTACCTTGAGAGGGTGGGTGAGGAACATGGGGTCAGGGTCCTGGAATGGAGGACTTGGGTGACTGAGGCACCAAGGGGCAGGCCCCAGCAGGGCAACCGTGCAGTAGACAGTGTGTCTTGGCTGTGGTCAGAGCCTGGTACTTTGGCTTCCACTGATACAAGTGTGGGGCCCCGCCCACAAGCAGTCTGGGGACCCAGCTGCATGTTCTTCCTGGAGGGATGCCACAGCCTGAAACAGGCCTGGCAGCTGTTTGGGCCCCTGGCTCGGATCTGCCCAGCATGAGGAGCAGTACCTCCTCAGGCCTCTGATCTTGGCTCTTTCTGTGGCCCCTAGACCACACAAAGGCAGTCTCAGAGGAGTGGCCTCCTTAACCCCTTTTCTGTACTGTTTCCATCCCCAACTGACAGCAGCCCTGTAGGTGCTGCATTCTAGGCTGGGCCCCTGCCAGGTGGATGCACCTAAAACAGGTCTCACTGCTTCTGACCCTCTGCTCCCTCCTGCTGTCTGCCTGGAGGAAGCAACACCCCAGGACTGAGCTGATGCTTGGTAGCCGCGTGCCCCAAACACGGGGCTAAGCCAGGGAAGGACTTAGTACTAGCTGGTACCCCAGGATTCCCCAGGATCCCCCAGGACCCTGGTATCTTGGGCTTTATAGATACCCAGTTTCAGAGGTGCCTAGGAATTGCTTGAAGGAGCTGGACAGTACAGTAGACCCAGTTCCTTGCCACAGAGTGAGGCGGGACACAGTGGGGTTCTGGGTTACCTTGTCGCTGCTCCCCCCAGACTGCTAGGCCAAAGAGGACTTGTCTGCCTGCCCTGAGCTGGCTCCCATCCATGTACCCCCTGGAGCCAAGGTGAGGAGGCTTCTTAGAGGCAGGCAGGGGTCATCTTCTACACATAGTTGGAGGCTGGGGCAGGAGCTCTGGCCCTTCACCTTCCCTGGGCTCCTTGGCCATGTGCATACATTGGCTCAGAGTGAGCTCAGGGCAGACTGGTGTCACATGCCACTCTGGCACCTTACCTGACAGCAGAGGTAGAAACACATCCTGCCACTAACCTGCTCTGCTGTGTGGGCGTGAGCACAGGGACCCAGCTGGACAGAGGGAGCAAACATAGGCCTTTTGCTTTCTCCCACCCTGTCCACGTGGCTGAAATCTTGCAGGAGAAAAAGTGGGGACTCGCATCTCGAAGCAGGAGACCCCTCCCACCTGGGTGTTGCGGGGAACTTGTATGCCACTTTATCCAGGGTRGAGGAGACTCGCCCATCCAGTCTGTCCCTCACTGGAGGGCACTGCTCGGAGGAAGCATGGTCCCTGTGTCCTAGCAACACCCCATAAACAGCCCAGTAGCCTCCTTGGCACTCTCCTCCAAGCTTGCAAGAGTCAGGAGGTAGCCATGGCCCTCAGGGTTGGGGGTCTGTGGGAGGCTACAAACCCCAGCACTCCTGTGTGTCTTGGAGGTTGTGCATTGTCTAGAGTCAGGACTCTTCAGAGGCTGGCCCGTGGTCAGCTTCCTCTCCTTGCAGMCTCGGAGGGTGGTCTCTGGAGGGGAGATTTGTGGTTGTACTACTGAGTATCCTAAAAATCTCCCAGGTATGGAGGGGGCTCTGTTGCCACCGTCAGGACCCCTGGGAGGCCTGGGTACTCCAGTTAGGGAAGAAGGTGGGACCAAGGCAGCCCCCAGGCCCATAGGTCAGAGGTCCTCTGATGGCAGGTGGGCTGGCCTGAGGGGTGGCAGATAAGCACAGGCTGGGGCACATCTGGCAGTGGGGTTGGGTCTGCAAAGGGTGCCCTCACCTTCCTCTGTCTCCCAATTCCTCTCTGGTTCCTGCTCCTCACTGCTGGATGTCTCACCATCAACTGTGGGCCAGCAGGGGGCGCCCCAGGATCAGCTGCACTTGGTGGGAGGGCACACAGCTCCTGGGGTAGCCTTCTTGCTCTAGTCCTGTGAGGTCAGAGGGCCTCTCTCCTGGCCTTGGACTCTGGGCCCTACCTCTTCCCCACTCTGGGGCACCTGCCCCATGGCCAACACCCTCCCTAGCCTGGTTAGCTCTCACAGCCACCCTGCAGAGGTGTCCTGGTCTTTTGGGGGATGCAGAGAGGGACCAATTGATTCCCTAGGTGGTGGTTTAYTGAGTAGAGACTTGAACTCCACATGCTGGCCAGGCTTGGCACTGTGGAGCCACTGTCTCCCTATGGTCATTATTTGTCCCAGCGTCCATACTACGTGCCTGGAAGGCTAGCTTTTCCCAGGGGAGGCCTGGGTGGAACCAGACTGGCAAGGGGTGGGGGCCCAAGGTCAGGCTCCAAGACTGCAGTCAGGGCCTAAGGCCTGCCCAGGCCTTCAAAGGGGCCATGGGCGGTGGCAAAGGGCAGGCTCTTTATGGTTTTCCTGTGGGAAGAGGAACCTAGCTCAGAAAGCCATTGTCCCCACACAATGGGCCTGGCTGAGACCCATGAGGGCAAGAGCCCCAGGCTGCTAAGACCCAGCCCTAATTTCAACTGTGGACCCAACTGGGGTCTTCATTCTGACCTTGATCTTGACCCTGGTCCATATCTCTCATTCTACAATGCCCTTGGCTACCACCACCCCAACTGACCCTAGCCAGGGAGGAGTCACTAGCAGCTGGGTTGGGGGTACTCCCAAAGCAACTTTAAGGGGCCTTGGTGGAGGAGGCACCCTGTAATCAGGGCTAGCTCCAAGGTGAAGAGGGTGGAGGATTCTTAGTATCTACTGGGCAGCAAATTGGGGCTCTTGGCTAGCCCCAATACTCATGGAGGCCTGGTGGTCTCAAAAAGTCCCTAGCTGGATCCAGGTTGGAGCAGAGGCCATGGCTAGGCAGGCCTGGCCATGCTTAATGGGCTAGCGGCAGAGTTCACCCTGCAGGTGATATGGGCATACACCTGTCCTTGGTGGCTGAGGGATCTTTGCACCAGCCCAGCAGAGTAATTGCTYCCCCTAGTTGGAGGACAGCATTGTCTGCCTGCTTTGGCTCAGAGCTCACGGTCACCCAGCACACCCCAGGTGATGACTACCATGACCTCAGCCCCCACAACCTGGAGAAGCCAAACCAACCACTGCAGGGCTGCCCTGGGGTGGGCAGGCAGGTGAGCTCCACATCCTCTGGTGAGTAGAGGTGTGTGCTGGGGGCCAGAGGTTGGGCTGGGTCACATGACCATTTATAGGGAGGCATGGTGGGAGTGTTCTGCCTTCTGAAGTTACTGGACATCTGCACTAAGGGAAGTGTTGGGCTACCTTCAGTTCCTGAAAAGCAGCTCAAGGTCGCCACTACCATCGTGCTCATGTGCAGGCATATTCTGTAACAAGCCACCGGAAGCTAATCCCATAGCTACATGACGTCTAAAGCTGGTGATCAGGTGCACATGCAGGTGCAAACACATTCACATCAGCAAGCGCAGGATGACGGAAAAGAGGGGCCCATTCTTCATAGTGCATGGACTCTGACCTGGGAGGTGAGGCTGGGCTTCCATCCTCTCCAGGTCACCCTGAGGTCTCACCACCTCCATCCAAGTTCCCCTCTCCTGAAAGTCCCTTAGCAGAGCATTCCCTCCAATCCCAACTGCACACAGGACCCTGGAAAATACAAGTTTCTCATCATTGTTTCATGAATCATTCTGCAAGCATTGAGAAAAACATAATACTGGCTCTGGGGCTAGAGAATAGCCAGGCCCTTGCCCTCAGGACTCATGACCTTGAGGGACACACACTCACCTGAGCCTGTAGATAGACCCATGGACGCACTGTGAGGGATCCAGCACACCTGTGGGAGGCTGCAACTTGCAGCAGAGCAGTGGCCCTGCTGAGCAGCCAGGGAAGGCCTGAGCCCAGCAGAGTGGCACGCTTTCGCTGGGTTTTCTCCTAGAAAGCCACAGCAGGTGGCTGCACAGAGGAGCTGGAGGGCTCAGGAGATGGGTGAAGTCTGCTTCTGGCTAAAGAACC